TTGATTTTATTTGTTTATGGTCTATCATATTATTTATTTTTAGGATTTTTGTTATATTTTGTATAGGATTTGCTTATGTTTTTAGAGAGTTTAATATTTTGATGCATACTGTATCTTATGATTTTATATTTATGGGTTTTAGGGGTTTAGGGTTTAGAAAAGAGCACAAGAAGAGCAGAGCACGGCATCTTTCGCCTCACCCCGTCAGGCTTTCAGCATTATCTGGTTCATTGCTTGGCGTCTCCAAGCGTGTTTTAGACTATCCCCGACCTGCTTTTTAGCAGTTTAAGAAGGTTTTACCGTGGCAGTAAAGCCTTTATACCACCGTAGTAGAAACCTTTATATCACCGTAGTAGAAACCTTTATACCACCGTAGTAGAAACCTTTATACCACCGTAGTAGAAACCTTTATACCACCGTAGTAGAAACCTTTATACTGCCACGGTAAAGACTTTACATCAGGCAACAAGAGTTATTCTGCTCTTCGTTCTCCATCGGGACATCTCGTTGAGAACCACGACGAAGACCACGCCTGTAATTGATGGTGTCCTGAACCACTGTGTCAAACTTTTCAAGGTCATAATTTGGCACTCCATCTTGGTTATTGTCTTGAGATAAGACAACCTTGAAGAAGCACTCAACAACCTCATACTTCAAAGCGTGGATATGCTCTTCCCACTTCTCCAAATCTTCAAAGTCTTCTGAAATCAATTGGACGACCTCGTAGAGTTTGTCTTCACTCAACCTTGTCTTTTTCTTCTTATGTTCTTGAAGAAGACTTTTTAATGAAGTAAGTTTGCCGTCAGGTAGTTCAGCGACCATCTCCTCAAGCATATTCGTATTGTTTGCCATCTTCTCCTTCACCGCATCAAGTTTTTCACGAAGAGGTCGGACGGATGAAGATAATGAAGAAGGACAGGTAGGGTTGCCTTCGTTGATTTCTTTATGTCGTGAAGTAAGCGTCCTCATTGAAGACTTCACAACTTCCTTCACAATCTCCGCTCTGCTCTTCAAGAAGTGCTTAATCACACGAGGGCGACCCATTGCTTCCTAAAAACCAGATATGAAAAAAAACTGTAAGCACAAATGCTACAAACACAATCACGGTTGCTCAAGAATGCTTCTCAATCAAATCAAGCAAGGTCGCTCAACAGTGCTCTCCAATCAAACACAGCAAAACAAGAAACACTGCCCTAATAGTGCTTGGATTTTTTCAGTTCCCGCGTGTCGTCAAGGTTTGTCCAAAGAAGCCCTAATCACAACGAGGCTTTCAGGCAGAAGCAGTCGCACAACCCTTTCAAGCAACACATTTTAACTATTAAGGTTTAGGGTTTAGGATGTTTAGGGTCATTGAAGGGAGCACCGACTGTTAGCAAAAGTTTAAAGCACTCAACGCCTCAAGACAAGAACATCGTTGTTCTTCAAGGTGATTTCACCGTCCATATTCATTACCGACTTCTTGCCGTGGTAGATGTCCGTCAAGTTGTTCGCTGGGTCTGGCTCACCATTCACTGGCTTCTTGAACATCTTGACTTTGTCATAAATCTTCATTGGGATGGCGTCTTCATCGTAAAGACGACACGCCTTGATGCGGATAGTGGCAAGTGAGTCGCCACCTGTAGCGTTAATGGTTGCCGTGTTAAGCACTCCCTTGAACTCCACATAGAAGGTCAATTTGTCGTCGGGCTTCATCTTGGTTGTCTTTCCCTGACGATGCTCCAAGTAGTTAATCTGCGCGAAGAGTTCGTAGGCTTGGTTCTTAAGTTCTGCGACTTTCTCGGGTGTCTTCTCCAAGGGGATATTGTCAAGTTCCTTTGTCTTGCTGGTCTTCAAGAGGGCATAGCAAGTCTCAATCTTACACTTCTCGCTCAAAAACTTCAAGTCCTGATGCGGTGGGGCAACCGATGGGTCATCGGAAGAAGTGGCGACAACATCTTCGTTCTTGTCCTGCTCACCAACTTGCTTGTTCTCATACCCTCCGCCCTTACTTGATGCCATTGCTTTCAGGAAAGATACAGCGAAAGGTCTGGAAATCTGATATAGCCGAATTGCTGGGAAACGCAACAAGTCGCTCAAGTCTGCTTCAATGCTCAAAACAACTGCTTTGTCAGAAAATCAGCATCACTTCAAATAAAGCGTGTCAGGTTCGCCTTCTTGAAGATGATGAAGACGCAGAAGCCAAGCAACACCTATAAAACCTAAAAGACTAAACAACTATTTATAATATTAAATTATTATAAA